ATCCACTATAGTCTTTGTAATGATTTTGAAAATGGTTTTGTAGAGCTTTACAATTTTTTTCCATATGCTTTTTCATCAGTATACTCTTCGAATGGATCTGAAATCCATGATCAAATGTGAACATGCGGCATATATCCGAAAAAAAAGTTATGTTAAGTTCTACGACTTTTCTTAGGGGATGTTTTTAAATTCGATTTTGGGATGTGTTGTCCGAAACTCCAAATAGATATTACCAAATATTATCCTGTGACATCTTTAATTAATTTAATTGTATTAGACCCACTTATAGCTCTTATTAATCTACACTAAGTAACTTTTAATTCGTTCATAATTTTTTCTGGATCAAAATATGTAAACTTTTTCCTTAAATCATTTTAAAACGATTTTTAATTTCAAAGCATTTCTTGTAATCACGAATAAATCCATCTTGGTTTTGTTGTTTTTATCATTTCAAAAAAGCGTAAAAATAATTCAATAAATATTTTTAAGAATGAAGAAAGCATTGTCATTCAATAATTTAGCTAAAAAATAACAAAAATCCAGGAAAATATCTAAAAGAGAAACAAAAAATTCAATTAAATTTCTTACAACCACTATAACATTTATTATTTACCTGCAATTAACTTTTAAAATACACAAAAATTCTTTATAGGAGATGAAAAAATTTTCTCATGCTTAATTCTCTTCCCGTTTCCTTCATTTCTTAATTCTTAAGAATTATTTTTAGACCTATATTTTACTACATTTCCACCACCACTTAATAAAAATAAATTATCGCCCATTTTTTAATAAAATTCTCAAATTTTTTATAATCGACTTTAATAATTCAACAGTTGTCAAATAAAATGTATCGAAAGAAATTAGATTTAATAGTGATGCCATTTATTATCAATATAAAAATATTTTACATTTTTATTATTATATATAAATATTTAAATAATATAGAAAAAAATTTAAAGATTTCTAAATTAGAAAATCTATGTAAAATACACAAGCTTTAATATATTTTTACCCCTTTTAAAGAATATTTATTTGATTAAGAGATTCTCATCCCACCCCTACTTTTGTATATAATTAAAATGTTGTAATTAATTAAGCATCAAATAAAATTTATTATAATAAAGTTACAAAGAATTTGAACGGAAAAAACACAATTTTTTGAATTAAATTATTTCTTTTACTTGTTATAAATATACAGAGTGTGTCTAATAAATTGTCAGATGTTTAATAAATAAAAATGATCTAATAAAAAATTTATTAAGATATTAAAAGAATTAAAATAATGTGAGTAAAATAAAATTCTTTTAAAATTTTAATTATTCAATTAAAATTTAATTTATATTTTATGTAGGTAACTATCTTCGTTAACAAAGTATTGATAAAATTAGGAATTATGCTTGGTTCAAATCGATTTTGATGTAGACGAATTGAGTGCATATGCTTAGATATAGATGGAGATTTACTTAGATGGAAACTATTGTCTTCCAATTATAACACAAGCAAGTGTAATTCTACAAAAAATTCTAAACACATAACAGTTTAGATGTATAACAACCAGAAATGCGCCAGCCAATATGCAAGGAAGAATTAGAGATGACTTGTAACGTATATTTATACTGGTAAGATGTCATTTTTAAAAAAAATTAATATTAAACCCTCAATATTTAAGATTAGAGATTTTTTCCTAATGCACCTGGATTTCGTTAAATTAACAAAGTATTCAAAATTGTTCCGGATTAACTTGAATTGTCATATTTATTCAAAAGAAAGGCATCTATGATGAAAACTTTCAGTGCGGACAAAAGATTGCCTAAAAACTTTAAGGAACGAAATTCTTTTGCCGGTTTAAATTTAAGTTTTAAAGTGTTTAGAGTGCCACAAGTAGTAAAATATTTGTAAAGTACTAAAATATTCTGAACTAGTTTTATAATTTCTAAAATTTATTAAGTGTACTTTGTAAAACTTAACCATATGATTTTTAGGGTTAATTTACTCTATGTACCTTTGAGTTTTTATAGTTAAAAAGTTTGATATCAATTACAATTTTTCATTCGAATCCCCCTTAATCGAATATAATGAGCATCCTAAACTGATTTCTTGTAATTTTACTTGTTATTTTATTATTTAACTCTATATATATATTTGATATAGGCAACTTAACACATATCTTATTTACTTAACAGCCTCTATATATATTCATTCATATATATTTCATATTATAATTTTTCACTAGTTAAATAGTTATACATATAAATATTTCTGCTAGCAAAAATACAGATTTCTCATGCGAAACATTTTATTATTCAATATTCACACAAAAAAAAGAGAAAGTTGAACCCTTTTAAATTTTATTCCTTAACTGCATATACAACTTTTATTAGAAATATTGATATACATACATACATTACATATAAGTATTATACAATGTACATAATTTATTATATTCGCTGTATAATAAACAAAAGGTTTATATCATTAAATTTTGAAATCCTTTTTAGTATTAAAGTTTAAACCAAAAATTATTTGAATTATATGTAAAATATTAAAAACTATGAACTTGTGTATGTATGTATGTATATTTACATTACGGTTACTGTGGATCGAAAAGCGAACGGGGACAAAATTTTTTATTGCAAAATTTAAATTGGGGATGAAAATAAAAATTTCAAGAAAATTATAAAAAAAAAAAAACTTTCACTCTCATTTTTCCATCTAACTAAATATCTAACTCTTCGTCTCCAAAAAATTTTAAAATAAAAATTGCACTATTCTTGCTCGTTATTTTCCATCATTAAATAAAGGCTAGTAACAAATAAAAACTAAATAATAATCAACATAAAATAAAAAAAAAATTATATTGCCTTCGGAAAGCTTAAATTTTTTTCTTCCTCTCCTATGTACATGTATGTAAATAGGTAGGTATTCGACCTCAACCCCCTTTTTCTTTTTCTAAAAATAAAACAAACCTTTTGTTTTTCTTTTTGTTAGTTTACTTACCATTAATTTTTATTTGAATATTTTGAAAAGCTTTAAAAGATTCATCAAAATTGCAATCATATTTTTGTAAACGCCTTTAAATTATACTTTTATTTTAGTTTATGTCTTTATAATATGGGTTTGATTAGATGTGATTAAAATTTGATATTTTGAGTAGGGGTTATTCCACATTTAATGTTTGAAAGTTTTTGACAATGATAGCTAAAAAAAAAAATATTGATGTAACACTAGAAATTTTCATTATAGGTCCTCATGTATATAAGCAATGAGTACAAATAATTAGGGAAACAACTTACTATCGTAATTGTTCACAAAGTTCTTGCAAAAGGTCTCGTTTAAGCCTTCAATTTATTACAAATATTCTATTAATTACCAAAAAATTTTTATGTATCCGAAAATAATTCCATGGAATCATATTCGTACCATTGATTTGTGAATCCATCCATTGTTCCACGGAATCTCAAATTTTTGTAAGTTTTCAAATATAATTAGCTCTTAAATTTTTTATGTGCCGAGATCCTAAAAATTAAAAAAATTATGAAAATAATTTAAAACTCCACATGTTTTTTTTCAAAAAGATATTCAAAAGACCGATTCTAATTCTCTACAACTAATTGTTTTTGAATATAAAAATAGTTTTACTGTTTATTATACCCCAGGTTCATTATATTGTAATAAATCTGCAACAAAAAAGAGGTGAAGGGGGCCGAAGAAAACAAGATTTTTATTTATATTTGAGTTTTATGTACATAAATTCAAAGAGTTATTGAAAGTTGTTTGCATACACATAAATCACCACCGTCGTCATTGTATCTTTTGATTTGCTTTCATATCCTTTTTTTCTTATTAAAATATGTATGTAAGTATAGCATTACATAAACATATACATTATACAACAATGTATTATATGAAAAAAAAAAGAAAAAATAAAAATGTTTTTTTGTAATTTATGAAAATTTTCGCCTTGAACTTTTTTCATTTAGTTTATAAACAAAAATAACAAAAAAAAATGTTTGTAGAATGGGGTTAAAATTAATAGGTTTACTTATACAATATACATTTTGTACATTAATATTCTATAAAGTTGTAATTTTACCCCCTTAATTTTTATCATTTTCAATTCAAATCTCTTTTATAATATTAAAGTATGAAATTATTATTTTCAATTCTACTTTCACTTTCTAATAATTTTCTTAAAGTTATTCTTTATTATTCGACAAACAAACCAAAAAAATAATGGTAAATCTTTATTCAATATTTTATATTGTACCAACATAATAATAAAGACATTATAAAAACTTTTCATACCATCCTTATATTCAACACAAACACAAAACACAAAAAAAAAACAAGAAGAAAATTCATAAAAGAAAAATTTTGTTGTTTTCTTTTGTAAAGGTTCTCTAAACACAAACGTGTCTGGAAAACTTTTATTTCTTCTTCAGTTTTTTTTTCATGTCCTTTTTGTTATACATTTACGATGTTCTCGTAAAAGTAAATGTATATCAAGGTGTTATAAGATTATCATTGATTTTGGTGGGAACGCGTATGAAGAAACAATTTAACATTTAAAACCCATTTCAATACAATTCGTTTTGTGGCTTTTTTTATTTTATTTTCATATTATACAAGTTCTAATTTAAAGGATCTCAAAGAAAATTTAATGTGTCATAAAACAATTTTTTAACGCGTACAAATGTGGCATATATGTACGTACATGGGCGGATGAAGGCGTATAATATTTAGAGTATGTGGTATGAGTTTACAAAATTTTATTGAAGGGGTATTCAAAATTATGTTAACTGTATTAACTTAATAAAAGAATGTTTTTATGTATGGGTAGAGTCTATAAGATTGTAAATCTTGAAATTTCAATACAAAATATTTTAAAAAAAATTGTCAAAAGAAATCAAAAATTTCATTATATGTGAGATACCAGAAGCTTTTTAGTTTCTGTAAAAATCTATAAAGTGGTCTTTATCCAAAATTTCCACGAAATTTGTCCGATGAAAATTTAATTCTTATTTTCAATATTAAAACGATCCATAATCAAATAAATTGATTCATTCATGTAATAATATTATAATATTAAGGAAAAATAATAATATAGAACAATTTAAACTTGCCTGGTTTGACTGCTTTAAAATATTTCCCACAATATACTTTTCGTATGCTACTTACAAAGGTTTAAAGATGTACCAACAGTTTCTATATGTTGATTTTAGCCATTATTCATTTTAAATTTCTGAACTTCGCCATATTTCTTACAAAGATTATTTTAAAAATATTTTAAATATTTATATTCTTATCAATTATTTTATTGCAATTTTTTGATTAACATACAAAGCGTTCGGTTTGATTTTACTTGTTTTTCTTTACATAATTTTATTGGTTTTTGTTTTCTACCTTATTACTTAATTAACTTTAGGGTTTACATTCATTCCTACCAATTTAAATTTTCATTCTCAAGTAATATGCAATAACTTAGTACAAAAAAAAAAAAACATTTTGAAATTAACAGATTTGTCACCGAAATATCACAGTATGAAATTGTTAAGTGAGCTCTTCTTTCATTTGGAAAATAACTCATTATTTATTATATTTTATTTTATTATTATTGTTGTTTTTAATTTCTTCCCTATTCAACTTCATTTTCTACGCCTGCTGAACTATCCTGTGTTAAATTTGAATCTAAACTAACACAATCGGATTCTGGTTCTTGATTTTCTGAATAATTTGCAGCCTCTTGAAGATGTATCAACATATTAAGCTAAAAATTTTTAAAAATAAAATATCATTGCAATGCTCAATTATACTCATTTTTAATATAAATAATTACCAAAGGATCATGCGAATCGCTTTTACCAATTTCGCAACCTTCTAAACCAACATCGTCAGCATTTATTTGTCGTAGTGCTGGTACTGAATCTGGGCCATATTTCCATGGATAAGTATCTCTAATAAATGTTGATGGATCATTCCATGCACCACCACGACGTCCATATAATTGAACACCTTCACGTACTGCTTCTATTAGATATGGTACAATATGATAGTTCCAAATGTCGGTGAACCAAACTTGTGAATCTTTTAAATTTAATGGACACGAGAGGAATAATCTCGGTCCAATGGTGACATCACTGCTACTGTGAATTTCTAAAAATCGATTAATATGTTGCCAAACAGTTGGTAGCCAGGCAAACACTGCTGTTAATTCAGGTTGATGATTTTGGGAATGTAATTCTAATGTGTAAAGACGTCTTCTTAAATAACGTCCTAAGAAACCTTTGACAGGTTCCATATGATTTGCTGTCAGAACCTATGAATTTTAATTTTTATGATTATAAAATATATAAAAATGTGATATGTAAATAAAGTTACCCATCTGAAATTATGGTGAAGTTGAAGATTTGTTGTATTACATGTTGCTTGTGACATTGTTCCAATAATGCATGGTAATTTCGCTGCTGGACCCGAACTTAATAATGACGAAAACACGTCTCCAAGAGCAGATGCATGGTGTAAATTATCTAATATAATCACAGATGGCAATTCTGATTCTCCATTAGGCATTGATGCTTGTTCACCAATATAACTTAAAAATTGCCGAAGCTCTTTGGATGATTTATTGTCAACACTGTAAGAAAGTTGAAAAATTTTAATCTTGGTAGATATATAAAATATAGTTAAAAATATTACTTAAATGTAGCAATTGCTTCAGATATATTATTCCTTCCCCCGCGAGCTACAATAAATTCTGCCAACTTTCTGGCTAGGTAAGATTTACCAGTGCCACTTGGCCCACATAATATCAGTCGACGATGTTCAGTTAACAAAGTGATATATCTATGAACAATACTACGCGGTATCAAACTATCAAAAGCTAAACTACCAACTCCTTGAAGACATATATATAAAGTTTTTACATTTCCAATAATATAACCACAAGGAAGTAATTGTGGGAAACCAATTTCAGGACCACGTTTTGCTTCACCCAAATGATACGAAGTTATTGAATCTGTATTTAAACCCAAATTGGTCCCTGGATCAATACGTGCTAAATAATCTTTAAATGTTTTTCTAACTATATAATCTAAATTTTGCCATGTTGTCTTGCCAGAAATGTATGTACAAGCTATTACAAATTCATGAAAGTTTGGATTAGAATACATTCTCTCATCTATTTCTGTCGCTGCATTGCTATAAATTTCTTCAGATTCTTTTTTATCTTTGTGAAAATCTGAATTGGAATAAATTGCCTCGGGGTTGGAGGAATCTATTATTTCCTCAAGATATTTCGAAAATGATTCCGGCTGCCCAAGGTACACGGCTATTTCAATTTTTTTTCCGTCAGTTACATCTGGTCCATCCTCACTAACTGAAGGTAATATGGGGGGTTGAGAACGTGTTGGGCTTGGCGCTTCGATAGCTGGTGGAGGCGGCGTCAAGTCAATATGAGTGGTAGGACTTGTTTTTTGAATAGGTAATGTTGAAGGAGGTGGTGGCTCTGGAGCTGGAGCTGGTGGTATGTTGTCTTCTTCAACTTCTTCCTCCAAACTCTTCGGTAAATCTATGTGGGGTCGAGAAGAGTCAACAAGACTATATCTTTTTGAATCACTGATGATAGAGCCATTAGGACTAATAGAATTCCTTAAGGAAATTTCACTACCAGCGAGTGATCTACTAGTAACCAATTTCTGTAGGCGCTCATTGTTTTGTTTGAGTGTCAACATTTCTGCCCTCATTTTCATAACGGTGTCTCGTAAACTTTCCAATTGTGAAGCTGAACTTAGTGCTTCTAGTCGAATGTCTGTTAAAATTAAATCTTTTTCTCGGAGTTGCTTTTTAAGATCCTCAACAACTGGATTGCCATCTAAATCTATGGCGTCAAGAGGTTTGGCATTTTCTATTATAGTAACACATTTTTGAGGACTTGATTTCGTGGAATTTGATGGTGTATTACTCGCTCCTATGACATGATTTGGTGAATTGAAAGTATTGTAATCATCCCCGCAGTTATTTCCTCCAGATAGCATTTGTTTCGCAACAGAATTGCTATCGCTCACTCTATGTTGTTGTTGTTTTTGTGGCGTGTTAGGAATGCTGGAAATATGTTTTTCAGTCTTAGAAATTTTGGCATTTTTAGAGAAAGCTTTAGTAAATGAACTTTTAAGCCAGCTTTTTTTCTTCTTTTTATCTTGAGTAGTTGAATTAACTGAAGTAATAGAATTCAAAGAACATATTGAACCACGTGTGGTATTATTTTGTTGAATTTCTAAAAGATTAGAAGTTATTGAATCACGCGGCATGCTTGATATGTTAGTTCCACCGTTTGCTGTTTGCTTATTATGATACTCTAAATTGTCTGGAGCACTTTGTTTACGCGGACTGTTTGTAATTTGATCAGTACTAATTTGAGATTGTAATCCCATACTTTGAATATGAGCTGATGTTAATCCAGCTTGAATTGATTGTTTTCTAAGTAATTCAATAGTTTGTCGCATATCAGTTAATTCACTATCCTTTCTTTCCGTAGTTTCTGTTAGTTGTTGCAAACGTTGTTTCATGTTTGACAAACTTTGTTCAAAAGCCGAAACCACATGTGCCTTTAATTAAAGTTCATGAAATAAACACTAAAATGCTTTAAAAAAATTTTGAATGCATGAAATTCTTACATTTGTTGAAAGTTGATTTGATAAACTCATAACTTGCTCTCTAGCTTCAATTAATTCTCGTTTTAATCTGCGAACTTCATTAGCTTGTCGCTCCTCAACTGATCCATATAGGGAGCTACCTCCTGACAATAACGATGCTGTGCTGCCGTGAACTAAAATTTTTTAAAACGTATTTTATTTCAAAATTCTTTTTAAGTGTAATTTTAAAATTACTATCATCGTTTCGCTTTGGATATGTTAATCTATGACTTGGTGTTATGCTGTTATATCCTGACGATGAAATACCACTATGTGTTGGGGACAAAAGACCACTCCGCCCTGCAGGGGGTGTTGGCGATGTTGGTTGACTCCAAGGTGATATTTTAGCCAAATTCCCACCCGCAGCAATGCCGTTTTGAATTTGAGTTTGTATTGAACCAACTGGTAAACAATAAAAAGGTTCGGCGTCAACATCACCACTTTGGTTACTGCTTAATGTTGAATACATTTTGTCTGATTTGGATGATCTGCATAAAATTCAAATAAAAGTTTATATAATAATTAATAAATTTTATAAATAGATATGGAATAATGGAAGAAATAACAACCTAATACTGTTACTTCTATTAAGACGTGGGCTTTGCATGTATGCACCTTCCACAATTGGTCCGTTGTTAATAATTTGATTACTTGGTGAATTCCGATGTATCAATTTATGAGCACTATGACGTTGCATTGCCGGTGATCCAAGAACATGCTGTAAACTTTCAATTGAATCACCGGCTGACAATCTGCTTGAAGTAGTATTGCTATGTTTCAACCACATTGCATAAGTGCTCTGTTCTGGTTTAACTTCAGCATATGTTTGTGTATCGGATAAAGATCCATCAAGAATTTTTCCAGAATGACGATATTTGACTCTGTAGAGCCCCAATAAAGTTCGAAATTTGATTTTAAGAAATGTATTTATAAAAAATTAAAAATGAAATCACTTTTAAAATATTTCATTTACCTATGTTGAAACATATGCATTTCAGTACCAGGTTTTGGTAAGCTGTAAGAACCATTAGCTAATCTCTCTCTAATAGCTTGACTTAATTGTGTAGCTCCAGGTCCTGTTAAGGAAAAACTTCTGTGCTGATTGGTGGGTGGTATTTCTAAAAAAAAATAATTAAAAATAATTATTTATAAAAGTATTGTAGGCTAATAAAACTAACTGGTTTGAATTTCAGCTTGTTGTGTTTGGGTTCCACCAGATACTTTTATTTTATTATTTCTTGGTACTCCCGAAACATGAGCTGTTCTATTAACATCTTGTTGATGTTGCTGTTGTTGCTGAATCATTTTTTGTTGTTCATTTGTAATTGATTGTGTTGTAGTTGTTGTTGTAACAACACCTAAAGCTGAACCGTTTGTTCGTTTTATATAACCAAAACTCTGAGGAACACCTTTCGTTTTACTTGGTGATGAAGATTGTTTTTGTGACGAAGATTTAATTTTTTGATTTGGATTTGATTCAGTTGATGTTAATTTATTTAGTGAATCATTGTTCCCATTTGACATAATTTTTGGACTATTATTGTCACGACCATTAATAAATCCAATACGAGATGATGAACGGCTGCTTGGATTACTATCACATTTTGATTCCATATTAGTGCTATCGCTATCAGAATTGATTTGATTTCCGTTTATATTACCCTTTGGCGAATTAATAACACTGGGAGGGCTATTACTATTATTATTATCAATTATAAGATTTGGTATTGCATTAGTTGGTGAGCTTAATGACTGTGTCCCAGTACCAATACTATCCAAGCTTCCATGGCTTCCACGTGCCCTAAAAGTATAAAGTGAAGTAAGTATAATATAGCGGTTTGATTATATTATATAAAAAATTTTTGTTATATAAGTTGCCCAAGGGCAATGGGGAGTATACATAAGGATAACCCTTATTTTTTTTTTATTTCAATTTAAAAATAAATCCAGAAATTTTGTTGCGTATTGAGAATTTTTTTTAGTCATTGATAAAAACCGTACTAAAATGTTTTTTTTTTCCACATTACATTAATTATTTATACAATAGATGTCACTAGGAGAATTTTCTTTTGTATTTAGCTAAGACATAATCCGAAAGGTTTAAGCCATTATTCATAGTCATGTTTTTTAGAAAAAGAAGCTTTACAAGTCCTTGTAATTTTGTACAAGGACTTTTTTAGTAACCCGTTTTGAAAAAAGCTTTAAAAGGATGTTTTTTGCACGTATAATTTTTTTTTATTTATTGATTTCTTGTAAAAAATTATTTTTTTTTCTCTTATTTTAAATGTCAAAAGCATATGTTAAACATGAATGTCAAGTTCTTTTCTTCGAGATTAATATGAATAAAAAAAAACAATTTTTCATTTGATTTGAATCAAATGATAACTTAGTTGTAATAATGATTAGGCAGAGAAATTAATAAATTCCTAAAATTTGTTTTTAAATTTTTTATCATTTTTACAATGAACATTAAAAAATTCTCAAATATGAAATCAAGGCCATTATAAAGAATACAAAGTATTACTCGTAGAATAATAAATCAAGATCGCCATAAGGGTTATGACTTAGAAGTCATATGGAAAAGCATCATATGAATTATTATTTAAATCCGTATGGCTTTCTTTCTAGAATAATCGAATTATTATTTAGATAATTGGGTCGAATTTTGAGCAATACGCCCTGATATATATTTTTAATTAAAATTTGTTGAAACTACCAAATTTATTAGACTCACTACTTCATTTAATATCATAATTTTCAACTTAAAAATCAAAAATTATTTTTTAAATTTTTTGTAGGATTACATATGTATAAGCACATACATATAATATAAATATATATGTACTTAAATTTTTTAAATATTTAACAGGCGAAAATCCAATTATGAATGAAATAAGTATGAAAAAATTTTTTTTTACATTTTGTAGTAATTTTTTTTTTGTTTCTTTATAATAAAAAAAGCCCTATTTAAAAGAAAAAAAAAATGTTAAATACAGGTGTCTTATGAAATTAAATTTTAGCTAATAATATTTACTTCGATGTATATGTACATATTTCTATTTGTACAATAATGATTTGACCGATAAAACTCGTGCGAATAATAAGTGAAATGAAATGAAAAATATTATTGTTTTTCTTCTTTGAAGTATTTCGATCCCACCTAGTTTCAGAATAATTGTAATAATCTCTGTACTCGTATGTATGCATTCTGCGGCTATATACTTAGATTTAATTTGATTTAAATTTTACATAGCGAAAAGTGTTCTACCGGCAAATTGATTAGTATTACACGCAAAGCACTTTAACCCATTGTTAAACAAGCACGGATGGAACTTGTGTCCTCATTATTGCAATAAATTAAAATCAAACTTAAGTATAACAAATTAATTGTATCAGTAAAAGTTTAAATTCTATTGATTCAAGTTATTAAGTACATATAGCTACGAATTAGGCAATTCGGTAATTAACGAAAAGTTAATAAAGATTCGTATCTGAAAAGGTTATTATCTGAATTAATGTCCAAAATTCGAGATGAAAAGCAATTTCAAAATACAATGAAGTAAATGGAATACAATTGATACTGTAAAACGTAACATTAGATTTGTTTTTAAGAAATGCTCAAATTGTTTTTAAGCAACTGTTTTAATTTCTTCCTAAGCAACTGCTTTGTATTTTTCAAAAATTTTCCAAGTCTGAATTTTTGCATACTAGTTATCAATGAGTTAATTTTCACCGCCAATTCCAAATATTATCAAATCAGTATGAAATCCTTAAGAATGAATTCTATTAGTATAGCACATTCAAATATTCAATTATAAATACATATACCTATATGAAACATGTTTTGCAAAATTCAAATCGCTTCTACTAACTAGTTTTTTTCCAAGATCTAAAACAGAAAAAAAATAAAATTTAATATTCCATTTTTAAATCATTTAATTTGAAAATATCAAAGTATACTACGTTGTACATAGAAAACGCATTTAGTATTTACAATTGATGTCATCAGTGTTGGATAATAATTTATGACCGAGTATTATTCTATGAGAGGGTATTCCTACATATGTATATACGAATAAGAAACAATAGCAAAGAAATATTTAGATGTATGTACATTTATACATAATAAATATTCACCCACATTTTTTGAAATTTTATTGTGACAGTAGACAAGCTATATAGACCATAAATATAATATAGTTATTAATAATATACTTTATATATAGCAAAAACACGTAATAATGTATAAACATTTTGTAATATAAAAAGAAAATCAATACACAAGAATTATGTAAAAAAAAAGGAGGAAAACCATTTTAATAGCACATTGTATAGGTATATATTGTAAGTTCTTAGATACGTGGGAGAAATTTGAAAGTTAAAAATAATATATGTATATATATGCATGTGGGTATATATATGTACATTTATTAAAAATGAAAATACAATCAATAAATCACAGGTGATTTTTAATTGGTTAAGAAGTAGGTAATAGGAATAAGTGTTGGGAAAATTAAGTATACATAAGGAAAAACTTTCCTTATAACTAGTCATTTACACGATTTATAAGATAGTTTATATTGGCATAACAAGCAAAAACATATTTATGTTTATAAATTAATTATATATTAAGTTTATTTCGACAATCGAATTGCCGTTAGTCTTTAGTTCAGTATACACTCTTGAAAATGTTAGAATGAGTCGAATTAATGTTCTATATCAAATAAAATAGGTATACAATTCTTTTAAACTCTTTTATGTAAACTTCATATACTTTTTTATGTATGTAAAATGTGTTCAAGACATTTTTTTTTAATATTAATAACAGTTTCTTAAATAAATTGCCAACCAAAAATTTAATACAACACCCCTAACTAACAAAAAATTTTATGTTTGAAATTTAAATGATAATTAAAAGAGCATTTCCATTTAATTTACTTTAATTATTATACAGTGTAAATAAAATTGAGATTTTTTTTTTATTAAGAAAAATTTTAAAGTCATTTTTGAAATTCAATTACTAAGCATAAGTACATGTTCTGCTCAAAATTTTTAAATTTTACTTAACAGTTCTAATAATATTAACAATAAAAAATAATTTCAATTTATAATTGACTTCTTTATTCAAAGATTTTATATTAATTACTCTTATTACAAGAAATTTCACACCAACTTAAACACATTTACTTTAAAATTTTGTGAAAGTATTCGCGCGTGTTATTGTATTTAATTTGTATATCAGTAAGCCACAAACTTGCTCGTAATTATTAAAAATTGTAAATTTAAAATTTTATATTTCAAACTAAAATTCTAAATAATAATTTTCATTTAGAAACTGAAAGGAAAGGAAAAACATTCTTAAATTTTATTATAATTACTTTGATTATTATTTAAAAAAAATATTTCGTCCTTGATATTGTTAATATACTTAATATCAGAATATAAGCAAAATTATCAAACATTAATTAATTGTACATTTAGAAAGAATTCTAAAACTGCTTTCGACCCTATATAATTATTATTTATTCAAAATTGATCTTTTTATGCATAACGAATTTTACTTTATTGTTTTTTAAATAACAATTTGAACATGTTTTTTAAATAATATAAAATTTAAGATATTCAAAATTGAAGAAATATTTTAAAGCATAAGCTTCTCAGCGTTATTATTATACATATATATTCATATATGTATACTAAAGTAAAACAAAAGAAAAAAAAAAACCATACAATATTGTCCAATTTTGATAGATATTTTAGATAAATATAATAATGCAATATTACAATAATAATAATGAAATTAAATTTATTTTGTCTATGACATTGTATGGTATGTACATTTTAAACATAAAAGCCATAGTAAATTTTTTAAGTACATAATTATATTCCAATAAGAATATTAAGAAAGAACCTTCAATAAATGAGTTCTTTCTCTCTTTATAAATACTTAAAAATCATAATAAGATATCATTATATATAGTCCAATAATAATAAGGTCAATAAGATTTAAACTATAAAATAACATTAGAATTATGCGTTTTCTTTATAATTTTCCAATACTTATAAGTATTTCTAATTTAATAATAGAAAAAAAAATTATGTGCCCAAAAAAATATACACAACCAGTAAAAACATTAAAATAAGCTTTTGAAAAAAATAAAATTTATTAATCAAAAATAAAACCTTTAATATAAAATTAATGATATTTTTAAGGATTATTTGCGATTAATTTATAGAAATCATTTCATTTTGCCCTAAGTATCCTATTCGTGAAGAAATACTATGTAACCATAACATGGAACAATAATTTTTCGCTAATTAAACAAAACTTAATGAATAAAAACAAAAATTTTTCTTTTTTAAAATTGAGAAATCAATTTCCATAAATAAAATATTTGATGTTTTTTAATAACATTGTTTTTTTTTTTTTGTTAATTAAAGTGGAAAATGTGAAAATATACTAAAACATATAGCAAATAAAGATTTCGTTTAGAAAATAGTTTATTAGTATTGAAATTCTAGAGAAAATCATTAATCTAGTAAAGCAATCATACTAAATATTAAATATTATTTTATTAAAACTTCTATAAAAGCAAGCGTTATCAATAAAGATGCGAAATGGTAAAGAAAATATGCAACTATATGGTTATAATAATTTTGTAGTAAAACACTACAATTTTAAAATAAGAATTAAAATTACAAAAACTTTCAATAAAAACTTTCGCTTGATGAGTGGCAAATAAAAAAAATTATACAAGACACACAACGTAAGCTTGATCATCCTAAAATGAAATTTATCAG